TGGAAGGATCTCTCAACCAATATTCTGTATACTTAGGACGGTTCTTTTCGCCGTATGTGAACGTGCATTATCGTGCTTCAGAAGAACGCATGAAGTCAGCATCGCTGATTGCTTTTGGCAGGTAGCTTCTCAAAGTGATCCTTTTAAGATGTTGTTATAGTATTCAGCATTCACTGCTGCATTTTGCTTAAGAAAGTTAATGAAATTCACTCATTTCGAATTCCAAAGAAAAAGACTGCCATGACTTTCCCACTTGATTGCACGACTTTGAACCTAGGGATTTTGGGAACTAGAAAAAAGGCAAGATCCCCCAAGAACCGTTCACACTTAAATTTTGTATGCCATTCATGTAAGTTACTTTTACCCTAACATGCATCAACAGACTGTGCCTGTATTATACAAATAATTTTACAAAGTTTCAATCCATCTTTGGCAAAAATGTGTGCACTAGCTAGTGGCTCAATGATGAGCACTTTTTCCATGGAAGCTGTCATATTCTCACGGCGACTGCGCATGGCCAGCGATGTTGTCGAGTCATAAATGTGAACGGGATTATTTTAAATTGCAAAGATCTTAATATGTAACTTTTATTATTCTAGGTCATGTGTAACTCTATGTACAAAACTTTCCCGGAAACTTTTTGATCCACCCTCGTATTTGGGCGATGAGCCCACTCCAATCCCAAGGAGCATTTCATGAAGGGGAATTTTCATCCGAAATCAACATCCTGATCGTTAACAGAGTATGATGGAAACACAAAAACCGAGGATAAACACTTTGAAAGTGTGATACATTGCAGACTACGAGGTCTGATCAAAAAGTTCCAGTACTTTATTAAAAAATAAACTGCTTTAGGTAGGGGGCTAGGTGTAGGTGGGAGTGGGGGGGGGGAGGGGGGTAACCGCACGCATGTTGAAACCTCCTTTCTGAGAGGATTAACACGTTGGCGACAATGCGTCCTGATGGCAGGATGCAGGTTCCAAAAAACGTCTTGTGCGCAGATATCGAGTATCTAGCGTTCCCGAAGATTATGATTTTATAATTACTGATAAAAATTCCAAAAAAATTCAACTTTTAAAAAAACACGGCAAAAAAACTGTTTTCTGGGACCATGCGTCCAGATGGCAGGACGCATTTTTTGACAAAAAAAATGTGCGTGGTCCCACGCGACGGACAAGCAAAAATAGGCTGGTCGTCAACGTGTTAAGTGAATATATTTACCAGTAGATCATGAAAAGTGTCCTTTTTCTTGTTTATGATACATCTGTTCATTATGAAAAACGAATGTAGTTGTCTTTCATTTACGCTTAGCTTCCATTCTAGTACTCCTGTGTTCCTGGATATCTTGCTGGAATTATTTTGAATTCATGACTGTTTTGCCTTTGTATAAGTGTCTGGATTTTGCGCTTATTAATGCATGAGGCGACATTGTGCAAATTTCGTGAGATTAATTGAGTCTGAAACGGTGGTTAGCAATTGGCGATTGATATGATGGAAAATATATACGAGATCGTGTCTGGGCATACCTAAGTCAGCAGGATGGCGTCCAGCATGCATATCAGTCCTGAAGGCCTTCTCTCTCTAGTCCTAGTCGTGACTATTTGCGAAACTACAGATAGGCCTAAAATGACACGACTTCACTGAAATATCTCAAATACTCTGAGATAATATGCCTCGGAAGTCGAGGGTTCAGATTCTTTTGCACGATAAAAGTAGGCCTTGGAATGATTTGAATTCAATTGTGGTCTATACCTGGGCGTAACGTTAGCGAGGCAAGTGAATCCAAGGGGGGGGGGGGCAATCGACGAAGGGGGAAAACCCTCGAAAAGTTATTTTCACGCTACTGCATTATATGGTCCTTCGCGTTGGATAAATGAAATATGCCTGAAAGTTTAATGTTTTTTCTTGCGACACTACTTGCGGTCCTGAAATTCAATATTAACAACATGGTATTTTGCCAATAGGAAGGATATCGAACTGGCCAACAAACCCGCTCAACACGACCGTTATTTTTGTAGCACAACATCAAACCTGATCAAAAACACCCATACAGCAATTATGTGTAGGAAACAAACTTATATATTTCAGCATTTCTTGGAGATTTATGCATCTCTTTATCGTAACTACCCTGTAACAAACATAACAAAATACGTAGCAAGTTCCTTATTCTTACTTGGTATCCAACGCATTATTAATTGCTCGGAATAATCGAGAATTGTAACAGATAATTTCAGTTGCTAGTCAATGAAAAGGGACTGAAACAACGAGAATGGTTTTAATAAACATCTTTTGAAGGTGACTTTTTGCCATTGATTGCTTTTCTGGTTTTCGTTGCAGATTGAGATATGCAAAGATTATGGGACTGACGACGGTTGCCTGAAGAAGGGATGCCAATTCTTGCACATTTGCCCAAAATTTCTTTTTGGTCTTTGCCAATATAGCAAATGTGAAGATGGTCATGATATCTACACGGATCACAATCGTCTAATAATCAGTGGACTAGTTGAAGGAATATACCGTTTGCAAGATGTGAAGCGCCTACTCAAACCGGGTGGAGTTGTTCCTGACTTATGCGAGGAATATAACCTAGGAAGTGCCTGCCATTATCGCGGTCAATGCTTCAAGATGCATATTTGTTTAAATTACATCCAAGGAACTTGCATGGATGCAAAATGTCCTCTGAATCATGACATCAAAGATGTTCAATGCTCCGCATTGCTAGAAAAAGCCTCCGTCGATATCCAGCAAAATAGAAAAGATTTGAGAATTTTCTTCAAAACCAAATGCTCTAACTTGCAATATGTTTCACAATTGAAGAGTCGAGAAGAGACACAGAAACCTGAGGAACATGATGAGAGAAACCTAACATGGCGATCGAAAGAACATTCGTCTCCTTGGGAAACAGGCAAAACCCTCGACACGAACAAGACTCATCTTTTTGATGGCAACAGGATTTCGGATAGTAAATACGTGAGCAACATTCTTTTATTTTTGCACCTTCTCTTTGAAAAAGTTCAGCCTTCAATATGGGAATAATGTTGTCATCATTGATTCCTTGATATATCATTACATCATATATTTTAGTAGTAATTACACAATGAATATGTAAATTGTAAGTCGTTACCAGCCATTATATAATACATTTTCGAAACTGAAATTTGGTTATTTCAAAGACCTACTTTTCATGAGAACAGAATTCCATTTATGACAACTATTTCGAATTATGATATATAGCTCATAAAAATTGAATTTTTCCTTAATGGGAAGGTGTCCTAGAGCAAGATGATACATTTGTTGAGGCGGGCGCTATACATTTGTTGACATAAGACAAATGGAGCTTTACTTTTCTTTCAAATGAATCATTGAATTTTAGTCTCACGTGTGGCATTCGTTCTTGCAGATTAATGAAAATCTCAAAAGAGATATTGTGGTTATTCAAATGTGTTTTTTTTTGTAGCGCCCCTCACTCAGCTCAATTTCAGAGTTTGTCAATGTGTTGTCTTGCTACTCAAATACAGTAAAATGAATATGTAACACTTACTGTAATTCACAGTCATCCTGCAGAAGAGGAGTCTCCCATAAATTTCCTAAAACGTTAAGTGCAGATGTATGGTTTTCCTCCATTTCATCGGGCGAAGCATTGCGTCGATACTAATTTCCTAGCGCGCCATCCACATGCATAACGACCTGCAGATTGCAATATGACCAGATTTTGGTCCTGGTAATAAAAATTCCTGTCAAATCCTGGTAATTTCAAGAGTTAAGCAGTTTCATTTATTTTATGCTTGGTTCCCGAAAATGGTTCTATAAATGTTTCATGGAAAATGGGTACAATCCAAACCTCTTCTTTTGGAGGGTAGAACCGTTTTTCTCTAAATGTGCGTAATAGTTGCCAGTTGGAGTGATCGTCTGACTGTCCTAGGTCGTAGCGTTCATGTTCTGCCTTGTTCACGATGTAAGATCGTAGTAGCTTCTGGAATAAATATCGATCTCTTCAACGAAAATGGTTCTATAAATGTTTCACTCCAGAACCTTTACTTTTTACAATGTAGGCGTGAATACCACCTCGGGGACGGGGGGGATGTGCAAGACGTACAGTGTCCGAGCGGATGCTGCGCAGAGCACGACTAGGGCCGCTTACTGAACTCGTGAATACTCGAAAATGCTACACGCTTTGCTTAGGCCAGATAAATCAAACTCGATTAAGCTGGGGGCAGATGGAACCCTCAGGAGTGGTTGGGTTCACATTAGCAAGTCTTACACCAAAATTTCAATTGCTAACAGATTATAAACGACTACGCTTTTCCAAAAGCAACTGTTGAAAAGGACTTTGTGGACCGGACGAAAATCAACCAAAGTTTGACAACCCTGGCCGAGACCGACCCGAAGTTCGTGGAAGTTTTCCACAGGGCGTTCTCGAGAACGCTACTGACCGGCTGATGCTTTTATCGTTGAGATGGCCGCTGACATTTAGGGCTGCTGACTGAATTCGGGAATTCGCGAGAAACAGTTCGTGGAAGACTTCCGCATGTTCAGGTGCCCGTCTCACGCTGTCGACGTAACACTTTCTCTTCGCCCTAAATACGCCTTGCGAAGTCCCAACCCCCCATACTGAGGGTTGTTCCCACCTCGATACGAACTTTCACGCGGGAAACCCCACGTACAACATTTCGAGTTCCGTTTTCCTCCGCGCGAAGTAATGTAGCTTCCGAAGATGAAAGCGGAGGGATCCCATCAGGTTGGAATAGAACAGGAAGGCTTCTCCTTCGATCGCAAGGGCTCTGCTGGTCGTGTCGTTAACATCCAGTTTCCATATTCGTACGTTTCACTCATAGGTTTGCATGAAAGTGATGGAGATGGACGGACGAGATTGTGATAGATAGGAATAAGAGCCGATCAATGCGAGAACGGGGTTCCGATCAATAAAGGGGTATGGATCCTGATAAATATGAGGGCGAGAATCCCATCCCCGGCGAGGAAGTCATCTTTCATTCAACGGGATGAAAGTGGACTTCAAGGGATGTACATGGGGGCGCGTAAAGAATGGGAAAGGGGTACTGAGCCTATATCGATGTGAGGGCCACTGAGTTTTAGGGCCGCCGAATGAACCTGGGAATTCTTGCCGAAGAGTTGGTGGAAGTCTTCCACGGGTCGGCTAGTATGTCATTAACACGAGATATGTGGTTCCTCATGAAATCACCCATATATTACTATTTAGGTTTGTGCGAGTGAATGCCTACGTGTTTGCTCAACTGCGCATAAGAAACGCCGACAATTCCCAGGAGCACACTTGATCGTTGACGTTTCGTTCCCGACAATTTTTTGCAAGTATGATCAGTAGTGAGAAACATCCTTTGCGAATTGTATTCTTCACCGTTCATATTCGTAGACCGTGTTCAATTCCTGCCCACTCCATCAATCTTTTTCGTTATCTTATGCCATCTGAACTCTTTCTCCCTTCCCCCCCCTGGCTATTACTTTCTCGAGAAAAGACTCGACAGTCGCAACAACCGGAAAAAAAAGTGTGAGCCCATAGAGAGAGACGTACACCCTGAGGCAGGCAGAAGGTACCGCTCATGCGCACATGACACTGCGGACATACAGACGTCCAAGCATAATATACAGTATATATAGACTATGCGCATTGAAAGTAAATATTATTGCATTGAGGCATCGTTCAGCACTATTAGGCATTGTATCACTAGATATTTGTGTACTAAAAGAAAATAATAAATGTTTATGATGATATTTTTCTCCATGATATTTTGCTTTCCAGAAAGTTTAACATGCATTTTTTTAAGCATTAACTAATATACTTATTAAATTTTTTCTAGCTGAACATCTGCGAGGATTATCTGAAGGAGAATGGTTGCAACAAGAAGCGATGCCAATCCCTTCATATTTGCCCGAAATTCTTGTTTGATCTTTGTGATGATGACATGTGTGATGCCGGTCACGACTTATCAACAAATCAGAACCTTCGAGTCCTCAAGGATTTTCACGTGGAGGACAACGATGTCGAAGACGTGAAAAAACTGTTGAAAAGGGGTACAGTGGTCCCTGACCTATGCCAGGACTTCAATCTTGGAGAATGTTGCAATCATGCATGCAACAGACTGCATCTCTGTGCTGATTACGTCATGGGAGCTTGCCGAAAATGTAATATAAATCACAATCCTTTGAATAATCAGTGTAAAAGAGTGTTAAAGAAAGCCAATATCAAACTGCAACAAACTCCAAAGGACCTCAAATTACTCTTAAAGAAGAGATGTGACAACTTGAAATACATCGTGACACTGAAAGCATTGCAAAGGGAGAGTGAAAAGGAGGATGACAGTGATGAAAACGAAGAAAGAAGACTTAAAGAAATTTCGAGGGAAAAGGAGGATGACAGTGATGAAAACGAAGAAAGAAGACCTAAAGAAATTTCCAGGAAAAAGGGAGCGAAATTAGAATTATCGAGATCGGCATCCCCGGGTTGCAACTTCAACGAAGATTCTCCAGTCCAAACCAACTCGAAGCCAAAAAAAGTAATTTTTTGTCCATTCCAGTTTAACCACACATGTGTCTCATCAATAATATATGATAGCGTAAGCAATACTGCAGTTCTAATCTCACTTCATGTTTCCCTCCTACTGATTTTTCTCCCCTTCTAGCTTTTGATCTCACATAGCTTAGGGTAACCCATGAAATTCGTCTACAAGATCGAACTAGACATACAGGGTGACCCATTTGAAAAGTTGACCGATGAATGGCCATGTACAAAAGAAACCACTGGACAGAAGAAGCTGAAACTTTACATGTAAACTGTTTGACGTTTGGGTTTCTCGAATCCGTAGAAAAATAAAAAGTAAAGATTAGTGTGTCAAAAGATGGCACGACCAGAGCATGTCACGCGGCCAGCGAACAGTATGAAAGGTCAATGGATGACCACGGACTGGAAAAGTACTGAACCTAACCACTGCAAGTCAACATGCTAGCGCTCACTACGAGGATCAAACTGAAGAAGTTTTACGAAAATGAGAGGAAGGCGGAAGCCGCCTTAAGGACGTACCGTCAAAGCCACAACATGCTCCAAGGTCCATGCTCCCGAGCAGCGTTGGGAAAGCTTGTGGAAAAATTTGAAATTATAGGATCTGTGGCCAATTTGAAGAAGAGAAGAGGCCATAGGGTTTCCGAAGACATGGCTGCAGAAGTGGCATTGACTGTAGAAGAAGAACGCGCGACATCGCATGTTGGTATTGTCAGTGCAAGGGCTGTTGCACGTCGCACTATAATACCGATAGAGACAGTTCGAAGGACGATGAAAATTGCGCTTCGGCTGTTTCCATATCGGATTAATCGAGTTCAAGCTTTATCAGCTGCCGGCATGAAGAGGCGCTACAAGTTTGCAATGGAGTTTCTTGCCCATGTGGAAATTGATGAAATGTGGTGTGGAAACCTCCTTTGGTGTGATGAAGCCCACTTCACCCTCCATGGCACGGTCCACACCAAAAACTGCGTTATCTGGGCAGAGGAGAACCCCGCGCCGTGATCAAAGAGCCTATCCACGATGACGAATTCACCGTGTGGTGTGAATTCACACAGGACTTCCTGTCAGGCCCCTTCTTCTTCGAAGAACCCATACATCGCGGTTTCAATACCGTCACAGTAACAGGAGAGCGTTACAGGCGGTTATTGGCGCAGCACGTCATCACGGACCTGCAGCAGCGAAACGTTCTGGATGAAAGTGTGTTCATGTAGGACGGTGCCTCTCCTCATGTCTCCAGAAACGTTAAAGCTCTGCTCCAACAAAATTTCGGAGACTGCATAATCAGCAGACACATCCCATTTAATTGGCCTACTCGATCTCCCGACCTCACACCAGCCGATTTTTGGTTGTGGGATACCTGAAATCCCGTGTTTATCGCCATGGTCCCACCACGCTGGTTGACCTGAAGACTTCCATATGGCATGAGATCGCCTTTATCCCAAAGGAAAGGCTCTCAGCAGCCGTTGGGAATGTCCTACCCCAGCAAGAGGCCGTCGTCGCTCAGCACGATCTGACTACAGCAGCAGCTCTAGTCAGATCGCTGTAACACTTGTGCCTCACCATGCTTGTTAGTCACATCCTTGGAAGCCCATACTGCCAGTAGTTTACATGCCATGTTTCAGCTTCTTCTGTCCAGTGGCTTCTTTTGTACATGGCCATTCATCGGTATACCTTTCAAATGAGTCACCCTGTATATCACCTGCTTTCGAACGGAAATATATATTGAATCACCACAGGTTCCAAACTTCACCAGCCTATTACTATTAATTGTCTCATTTAATGTGTGTATGTGTTAAATGCTAAAGTTGCTCCCACATAATCGGGGTTAAGAGTGTCGCTCATGAAATAGAAATTTCGAGCGACATGTAATACAATCAAACCTTTATATCCCTTACATCAAGATTGTACAGGGTGTCCCAGGAGGCACAGTACCACTTCAAGAATTCATATCTACCAAACATGTCGGAAAAAAGATGTAACATTAACTGAACGATAGCATGTCATTTGGAATTATCTTTGTCAAAAATATAGGTATTTCTGAAGTTTGAAAGTGCTTCAAAATGCCCACCGCCTGTGTTAACACACTTGGCATGAGGCTCAAGACCAAAATATTGCCGAAACTCCCTTTGGACACTGAAGGGACTATCAAAGACCTCCTTCCAGGTGGCAACATTCTTTCGTTACTCAAGCGCTAATTACGAAATATTTTCTCATGACCGCGAAAGCTAATTGCATGATAAATTAAATGATTAATGTAAGCAAATTAACGTTTTTTTCTATTCCTTTGGTCGGTCTGGAATTAGGAGCGAAAACATGCCGTTTTGGAATTTTTGCCAAAGAGGATTCAACGAGGCGTACCATAAATCGCTCAAAAGATATACACCTTTCTCACATGCATTTGGGACAATTTCTGTATAAGTCTGATTCCTAGTCATTATTGTGAGAAAAAAATTAAAAAGAACGTTCATTCCATCAATGCTAAGAAAAGTGATCTAGTTGTTGCAGTTTGGAAAATATTTCAGTTTGAAATGGTATAGTGACTTATGGGACACCCTGTATTATGTAAAGATGACTCGTTCAGGTTTCTCTAAGGGAGAAAATACTTGAAAAATTGACATTGCTAATAATGATTATTCAGATTTGAGCAACGAAGGAGATAACTTTGATTGGAAGAGATTCCTGTTCAAGATGGTTGTCTGAAAGTTGTCACTTTATTGCAATTTTCTTTGAATGTCAATCGCGCTTAAGTGTATGCATAATTTATATGGCGGCTGACAAGCAAGTGCAAAATATGATATATAAAAGCATATATAAAAATGTGATGCGAAGGTGCATCGTCAGCCATTGAATAGATTACTACGTATGTTGCGGATCTGAAGTTAATGAGCCATCAGCAATCATCCATTCCATTGACACACAATGCATGCCATTTCTTAGAAGTAACCCTACAATGACGTGGATATGTACGTCCTTCTAATGCAGGGGTGCCCAAAGTGGATGTTCTCTAAGGCACTTTGTGTGCTGGATGCGGCCCGCGGGCCGCACTTTGGGCACCCCTGTTCTAATGCATTGAGTTTCCGATGGCAACAATCTCTCACTGCGCAAAATATGTATCTCCTGAATGTCTTCATGTTTTCGCTCAGGGTTTGGGAAGAGGGAACCAAGAGTTTCGTCTGGCTGAAAAAATGAAGAAGTATTGCGACACAAAAGATGGATATATATACGAAGTAAAACCAAAGAGAACGAAAGAAGACTCTCGGAATCTCGTGCGAAAACTGGAGATTAGTGATAACATAATAAGTGATGAAGCAGAAAGGGTGCTCATGATTGTCGGAGCCACAGGAGCAGGTATGGTGCAGAGACTGTCATATATTATTCGTGAATGATTATTCACAGGGACCTTGAGACCCCCATTTTTTCCCAAGGAAAGAGCACGCTCATCAATGGAATCGTGAATTATGCTTACGGAGTGGAGTGGGACGACAATTTCCGCTTCAAAGTGATACGTGAAGAAGGAAACGAGAAGTTCGAAGCCCAGAGTCAAACCAAGTGGATCTCTGCATACGTCATACCCAAGCAGCAAGGAATCGCCATTCCCTACACCCTGACCGTCATCGATACGCCTGGGTTTGGTGACACTGCAGGAATAAAAAAGGACGGTGAGTTGAAGAATCAGATCCGGGAGTTCTTCTCGTGCAGCGGACAAGTCGGGGTGGATCACCTTGATGGAATTGGCTTTGTAGTCCAGGCCTCCCAAGCCAGGCTTACACCCTCACAAAAGTATGTTTTTGACTGTGTACTATCCCTGTTCGGGAACGATGTCAAAGACAGCATTTTCCTGTTGGCCACTTTTGCTGACAACCAGACCCCACCAGTATTGACCGCCGTCAAGGAAGCAAGCATTCCATGTCAAAAAGTATTTAAATTTAACAACTCCGCTCTCTTCGCGAAAGTTAGAGATGACGAGCTATTGAAGGAATTTGATCAAGCCTACTGGAAAATGGGCATGCAAAGCTTTCAGGAGTTCTTCCAGGAATTTAAAAGCGCCACACCCGTGAGCATAACACTGACGAAAGAAGTTTTGCATAAGCGGCGACGATTAGAAGAAGCACTCCATGACATCAAGTTAAAACTTGATGCAGGTAGGATATAATTTTTTTTGTTCTCATCTTTCCACTGAGATGAAAGACTTCAAACCCCAACTTTTCATTTTGTCATTAGCTCTGGACAGGCTTGAGTTGCTGAGGGAAGCATGTGCAACAAGACAACCTGGATTGAAGAAACTACGAAAATGTCCGAGCCCGCAATCCTCTGAAAAAGAAGAGGAAGAAGAAGCACCTATTCCTTGGTCGAGATTGAAACGTAAGAATCCCACTTCCCCGCCAGAAGAGAAACGTTTACTAAAGAAATTGACAAGAGACTTCAACAAGAAAAGAGAAAAAGTTTTCACGCTTGTTAAAGAAGCACATGAATGCAAGCAGAAACTTGATGCCATAGCATTGAAGCCTGATCCGTTGGGATTCACCGATTACATTGACATGTTGATCCATAGCGAACAATTTGAAAACCGACCGGGTTACATGCAGAGGATCAAATATCTTGATGAAGCACGTGCTAAAGCTGAATTAACAAAAGGCCTCATGGAAAACATTAATCCTTCTGAAGCGTATAAGGAGCTTGATATTTCCGACTTTGATCCATCCGATCCTACAGCATTTGGATCTAAAAACTTCCGCGGGAATACTGCTGACAATGTGAAGATATTACTTGCGGGTCATCAAGAAACGAAGTAAAATTTGTCAATAAGGGATTCTGAAATGATTCATTTTCATGCAGACGCTCCTGACGAAAAATTGATTCAACAATTTGGAACTTCTTCGGAAACAATACCTAATTGGTGTCTCATGGCATCACTGAATCATTCCTGCAGCATAACATTTGTGATGGCATGATCCTTATATTTTATGGTCTCACCTCTGTATATCTCATAATATTGTTTGCGCATCAATACAGGCCTCCACAAGAGTGTCGTTTATAATGCACCTATCATATTCATGTGAGATTCCTCTTGGAGGAGCATATGGATGTTATCCATGGCAGAGGAACCTATAGTAAACGTGATTGGAATCAATTGAAGGTCTGTCATGGTTAGTATTCTGCCTTCATGGTGTCGGGGATTGTGAGAGAATGCATTCTATCTGAACTGTGCAACTTCATCTCTGCGTGACATGTATCTTGTCGCATGTGCTCTGAAGTGCCGTATCTCACAAAATACGACAATTGGATACATCAGATTCTGATTAGGACCATTTGCATTTGAATAGAGCTAAGAGTAATCCTATGCAGACGCTACTAGACTGATTGTTCTGAAATACCTCTATAATGATCTATGAAAGCATATGTGCGTGAAACATGTTTTAAACTATGGTACGCAATCTTTTGATATATTGGGTACTATTTCCTCCGTGCACTTGTTCCCTGGGATCATTCGACCGTAATCCACGTTATTATCGCTCAAAAGATAAGATATGGACGTCCCACGACATCTGCACCAAATTTCTAGCTCTAAACGCTGCAATGCGACCGGGTGTTCATTCAAAAAATCTAAATAAATTGTATTCCACCGTTTTCGAAGTTCGACCGAGCCTAAATACTTCATACTATCATGATGATCGTATGAAGCCATGCTGAATTCCAAAATAGTGGCACACTCAACGACACTGTTTACATCTTTCGCAATTGTTCACTATTATGGTTTTGAAAATGCCGAATATGTTAGATAATTAATCTGTAATTCATACATTTCTTAATACTTGGTCTCACATATTTACCCTCGCTACGGAATGTATTGTTAACTACTTCAGCACCAAGCAATGGATAAGAAAGACTGGTGACAGCGGCAATGCGCCCAAGTCAGGTTCTCTACCTTATGTGAGTAGAATAAGTAGTGCATAAATACACAGGTACATTATTTTTGTACATGCTCGTAATGCAGCTTAAGCAACCCAACTCCTAATGGCCTCCTAATATCTTGAAGTTCGGTAACAAGGAATCTGCATCGTTGATGCGTGAATTTGACGCTAACTAAAGGAATCCTCGTTGGGCTTAAGGAAATGTCGACCTTGGTCGCCGGTCTTTCGAGACACTGCCAAGCGCTGCAAACACCTAAGGCTAAGACGGATGGCTCAGTGACGTGATTTACCTCCGTGAACACTTACGCAGGTGTTAGTGGCGTCCAGATCGCGGGAGATTCATTACATTTCTTGTTAGTTCAACTATTCTGCCAATGCGCTTAACAGTCATTCGTACGAGACCCAAATGGGTGCCAGGCTTGTTTCGAAATACACGGAAAGGTTACTCTGCGCTCCATCCGTGAAGATAATGTTTGACATGACTAGCCTCTTCCTGGCTATCATTTTCTTGCTGTCTTACTTGGAAATATGTGTCCAGGTTAGATGGCCTGGCATCCAACTGCATAGTGGGAAATATAGGGTAGGACAGAACATTTTTCTCCCTCCCTTCAACCCAGAGCGTTTTACCCTTCATCTTATGCTGGGCAAGATCTGATATCCTGATTTAATTGGAACTGTTTCTAATAATTTTTTTCACAAAGATATAATCATGGCTGGTACTTACGACTGTGAAAAGCAGAGTTATTGATTTCATTCAATCTTGGATCAGTATAATCAAGGCAACTACCCTAGATTCCTCGAAGTCCTTTGGTCTATTGAGTTGAATGACGATTCAATGTGAACTGTATTACATACTGAAAATTGCTCGCATTGAATAATGTCTTAGTTTTTTTTTAAAACCGAAACTAGATGACAAACCACGAATCTAAAGGACCTATTTCGGAGTAAAGTTAACTTTCCCAACCCTGATTGTACCATTACGATTTCGTAGGATACTTATACGTATTACAGCATTGCAAATTGCGTATATACAGAACATGTAAAACTTACTCTTATGATACGCATGATGAAGATAGCTCCTAAGAGACACGTTCATTAGTTTGAGCATACTTTTGAAGCATGGGAAATCATATGCATATAATCCAATTATATATTTAAAATTCGCTATATTCCTCCAACAGCATCCATAACTATGTTATTGATATTTATTTCCTTTAAAACTGGTCACTAACTGATATGCATGGCATTCGTCTGGGAACATCATGGTTGTTGCAACTCGTCCTATCTGATATGTATTATTTTCTCATCAAATTCAAGACGTTTTCTCAGGTATACGGATTTCTAAGGAGGTTTCCTAACCCTGCATTTGGCTAGTAAAGTATTCCAGTTAACTTACCGGAAAAATAGTCATACACTTGCTGGAAACTCACTATGGGTAGAATGGGGAGTGTCAGAAAAATCGATGATGTTCCCAATTGGGGACGAAACTTTTTAAATGTGTTAGTGGCCAACTGTGAGCAAATTGAAAAAAGTCAGATCATTACAATATTTAAGGAAATACATTTCACCTCATTTCTTCGCAAAATTCTTTTAAAATTATATTTAATGCATATAAAACATTGTCATGCATTTGTTACCGCATGTTTTCATTTTTATCTCACATTTTTGTCGAAGAAACTATTACTGCTATATGTTGATATATATGTTTTCCATTTGAACTAAAACCCTAATTTGCAGATACGATCGAGTTTTAGTAGTTTAATGCAAAATGTATTACATTCCTGAAAGAAAACGTATGTAGAATAATATTTACTTCATTCAAGAATTGCATACATCTTGCAATTAATAGTTAACCTGGCGACCATGTATGCACAATAAATGCGTAAATGTAGAATACATAGGCGATCATTTAATGAAGACCTAAGGAGTTGGTTACTTTCGATTTTCCTGTAAGGATGTTCAAAAGTTGTGTGTGCGAGTATATGTCAGTTTCCTCTTCTACTAAATAGGGGATGCCTGACATAAGCGCATCGTTCTCGTCACCACCAGTTTTCATCATCCGTTGCGAAATATTGGAAACATCCACATCAAGAATTGACGAAATCGTGAATTATAAACAGCAATTCTTATGGCTAGGTGAAGTCCTACCAATGGAAAAAAAGGAAATGAAAACTGCTCGAGAGCGAATGTTGCTCGATTTAGTGTCTCCATTTCTCTGGAATGAGTTCCAGGCAATTTTTCCCTACACCCTCATGTCCCATGCAACACTTATTTGACTATTATTTGCTTCGGGAAAAGAACAGATTGAAGAGGATACTCTTTGGTTCTCTTTGGGAAAAAGTCGCTTTTGGGAAACACAAAAAGCTCAGATTTCGCTCGGTAGTGTTCGTTCCTGTTACTTCCAAAGGAGATGGAAGTGCATGCTTATCTCTTATGAAAGGTGTGTCTGACTCCTCCCTGAAAAGGGCGAGTTCGTCTGAGTCATGACGCCAGACATACAACTCATTGCTGCACAAACCAGCTGTTTAATTTAAAAAATATATACAAAATGAAAATCCTCATTCAATAAAGGAAAATTAAGCCTTAGATGGAAATATATGTGGGATGGTGAGTGTCGCTACAGTATCTGCTTACTGAGAAGTGGTATAAAGGTTCTCATGATTCGCGATAATCACTATTGCAGTGCATCCTTGGTATCGAGGAAGTGCGGATGTGAACGTAAGTAATTGAGAATTACAGTACATGCTGACAGCGTAACACATGAGCATGTTCTGTGTTTATTATATGGTATTTCATCCGAACAACTCTTAATAAATATTGGGAAGCTTTGCTGCTCTGAAAAAGCTAAGTTCTCTCGACGTTTACATATCATTGTTTCACCGGCTCGTTTATTACTTGATAAAGTGATACATTATATAACAATATCATACATGTTTCTTAAGATATCGTAGATCATGCCCGTTCCCAGTCTCCTCAATAGAAGAAATTCAGGGTACTATTGGACGAGCGTTTCAAGTCACCATCGACAGAAGTGAACGAAAATGAAGTGAAAAAAAACTCCTGGCAATGGAAAAGGAGAATTTCAGGAAATCCGGACATACAGTGCATGAGAAGCTGAAAATCCAGGATAGGGAGCATGTGAAGTCCAGCCTCTGCGAAGATCAGGTCCTGAATCTCATGCATTGCCTTACATCAATACAATTTTAGACAATGGAATATATTGTCTGTTTTAATAATGGTACGCATCATTGAATAGCACTCATGAGGTTGATTTGACATATTTGAATTCATGGATTTAGTGGCCTTATTGACGTTCAAATAAATGAAGACATGTTAAATACCCAGGAGATATGGTGAGATTAAACTTAGGAAATCATTAAATCTGCTCAAAGTTCTTGGACAAATTTTGACTTCATTAAGATTCAACCAGAAGTAGACCAATATAAATTCCTAATGAGTATGAAGGAAATGCCTTGTATTGACACTCATTGATTCATTCAAAGTTCATCAGGATGAAGCTAATGCATAATAATGCATATTTGCATAATCATTTCCAGCGAAAGTAATGAATTTGAGGATTAAAAGAGTTTGAGTTTGTCTTGACGACAAAAAATGAAAACCGTCGATTGGTTCTTCCACTCTACCAGCGACATGATATTTTCTTCATTCGCAACTTATTGGCAATCATTTGGAATAATATTACTTCCCCCTATAAATAAGGATGAAATAGATCAAGCAATTAGAAACATACTGTTGCATGCATGATTAATGTTTCACTAAATGTACTCCTGTACATTTAGTGAAATTTGTTGGGATTGTGTGCCATCCTATGTACCGGGTGGCGCAAAAAATGCGTTGTGTTTGACGACTTATAAAATCCGTTGTTGATAATCTACGTTCGTCATATTTTCACATTGCGTTGGAAACACCACAAAATTTGTTCTATGAAAGTTTCATGCACCTAAGTTTTCCTGAATAAATATGAACAGTCTCTAAAAATATAGTGTCCTAAAATGGACCGTTCCGCGAAGGAGGAGGATGGAGTTTCAAGACCGCTGGAATGATTTCTCTACCTTGACATCATAAATACCGCTTTTTATTCCAGTTCCTACTGTAGTATTCAACACATTGTAGAATATTAATACTGTCGTATATCGTAGCAACATAATCGATACCACGCAGAATACTACAATGAGAACTAACGTAAAAAGCGGTATTCATAACCTCAAACATTCAATCAGTCCTGAAACTCCATGCTCTTCTTGCGTACATTTTTTGACGCCACTTGAGCGACTGTCGATATTTATTCATACAAATTAGGAAAATTAAACTTTTATAAAACATATTTCGCGGTGTTTCTAGCTTTACATGAAAATGTCATGATTGTAGATCATTCGTAACGGATTTTATAAGGTGCCATAACGACGCGTTTTTTTTTTCACAAACCAATATTCACCTAAGGAAATAGTCATTCCTTGCAATTCAGATGACAAAGAAGGAGAGATCATTTGGACAACCGCGACCAGACTTGAAGCCAAAGACAGCAATCCTCAAGACTTTGCAGGTGAAAGAGGAGACGGATCTTAAAGCTGAACCTGTCGAAGGCATTGAACAGGCACAATCAGAAAACCTGAAAAACCAGCTGGAAAAACTCAGGATTGACGTATTTGTACTCACCATACTCTTTTCCATCACAATAACTTTCTATATTTAGGGTTTGTAAACGCCACTTTTCACAATTATAGCTAGGAAAGATGCAGGAGCAAAATAACCTGCAGAAACGTGAGATGTCGGAGTTGGAGAATGACTTAAAGAAGGAGTCCATCGCCCATGCAATCACTAGAGATAAATACGAAGCACTCCTATCTCAATTCACTAAGGTTTGTGTTCATCCAGGAATTTATAAAATGAGATCACTGGAAGTTTCCTTAAGTAGGCAAAGAAGTATTTTGGCTAAAAAGCATTTCATTAATCTACGCCAGTATAATTTGAAGCCACTAATGCTATATTTCAGCTTTCAATGTCGCTCCGTTTTGCTTAAGCGAAGGCATTACTTTGAAAATGCTCACCATCTCCACCTCCTAGAAAATATGCGCTCTCAGTCATATGCTCCTGTGGCACCGGGATACTTCTTTCGGCATCCATAATGAAATACATTCTTAAGATTCAGGAATGGCTTCCGTTGAGACATGAAGTTTATGCAATTCCCCATTTGCTGAACTCTTTTTTATAATAAACATAACCTCTGACAACCGGATCTGAACATTCTCGGATATGACTTGGTCCTCGATAAGGACATCTAATGAAGTACTTTTCTGGAATCCTAGTTCAAAATGACAGTGCTATCTAGAAACGAAACCCCTCCGTTAATTAAATATAAATGAAAAACATCACAGCGAGAGCAGGGAAGTGCCATTTTCAACGCAGGCTCGGCCTTTTCCTTAATCACATTCTCCTCATTGATATTTGCATTCGTTTCTCTTACTTCTGGAATATGAAAAGATTAAAATGAACGCTTCAGTTCAATAGTCCTTCCAGAAATTAATTATATAGTACTACGTTGCTCCCGACATGTGGGATGCTGTTGAGATTCAGCAGTTTTTGAAGTAAGTAGCTAGAAGCGTTGATTATCGAGAGCTTAGGGCAAGGAATAAGTAGCCCGATTGCGAGAAACATTAATCTTCCATTTTATTGGAAACTATTGAGTAGTAAATTGTTATATTTTATTAAATTATATGTTTTACCTCGTTTCGAGTTTTTCTTGAAGTCTCAATATTAATGGAAAGTCCGGGGTCACTATAAAGTCCCCACCATATTTTCAATTATCATTACTTTTCAAGAAACTGTTGGATGCCAGTGATATTTGATAACACGGTTCATGGGTCTAAGAGGTTTTCTTCTATGCCGCAAGATGGCGTTGCGTGCCAATAGAGGGAGCTGATGTTGACCGAAGCGCCACCTATCTACGTGCTGTACAATTTTTCAGGCATGAGAAAGAGATAATTTAGGCTAATGAAGGTGTCTGCCATGGATCATATGGTTCCAAGTTTTCTTTTGAATGGTAGCATGGAGCAAGTAAACTTTGCAGGGCTTAACTGTTAAGAAATTGTCAAGTGCACAAGTGCAGTTGTTTGACATTAATGTCTATAGTTCTATTATTTATTTATGTTCTTGCCTTCCACATGGTTCTACAGGTTGACAAGGGACCCTACGGTTGCATGCGCGAAGGTAAAATGTGATGGATAGCGAGTACTCTGCTCAGTGTCTATTTTACACGTTATGTTTCCAGGATTTTTTTTCCTGGGATTTGAATATATATAATGGAAAATCCATTGTACGCTTGTATGGATGTGTGCATCAATAAAATCGAAGAATTTCTTGTAATTTTAATTTTCTTCCACCCGAGTTTCCCGGACGTTGTCTAAATTAATTCATTTTAATTTAGATTGAAGGTGAAAAGGTAATGCTGGAGAAGCGGCTGGAAAATGTATCGAAGCATGAGGTAAATAAAGAAATGCCACAGACTCAGACAAAAGAAGACGCCGGCCTCGAGGATCGCATAAAGAAACTGGAAGAAATGTGCAAGCGACACCAGAAGAAAAACCAAGAGAAGTTTCGTTCCTTCGAAGAACAACTAAGCAGGCAAAGCATCCAAGTCTCGAATGTCCTCTCCTTCGCACGCATTTTGCCATTTCATTTCATTTCATAGGCGCTCACAGTATGCTTCCTGATTGCAGTTACAAGAGATGAAGCCACGGCATGAAAGCGAGAAAGGAAAACGTCAGCCTACAAGAATGCATTTTAATGAAGATGATGACAATATATATGAGACAGAAGAACAACCCCAAGAAATCCAGAAACAGACGTCTGAAGTTTGTATGACTATGAATCAAGCAAAATTTAACTAAGATTTTCATAATCGTTGGGAAATTTTAACTAGAGCTCTCCTTAATATTTCGATGCTATAAATTATATTGGCGCAGACTGTATTAACCTCTTAGCCTTAGAAAAAATTGGTTACTATAAAGCAATCCATCCAACTATGATGAATAATTATTTCAAATAATAATGGACTTTTATCCTCTGACCTGATATACATATACACATTTTAAAGGAAGCAGAAGAAAATGCAGGGAATATGCAAGTCTTATTCTCTTTGGAAAATTATGTTAAAACTTACTGGCAAGACAGGTGCTCCCGTTTACTCTGGTAAAACTGCATACATTTTCCTTGTATTTCGTTCATGATTATTTTCCTTTATTGATGAAGCAGATTTCCCAACTTCATGGTGGCAAGAAAGGCAATAGTGTGAGTGAGGATATTCGTCTGGCTGTAAAGATGAAGGAGTCCTGGAAAAATGGAGATGGATTTGTGTATGAAGTGTCACCAAAGAATACTAAGGAAATTTCCAAATATCGATTGGCCAAGTACGATATTGGCGATGGAACACCAGACGGAGTGGGAAAGGTACTCATGCTCGTCGGAGCCACGGGAGCAGGTATGCTTAGGCATAGCGGAAAAGATGTATGGGATGATGTACGAAACTTGTCAATGTCCACGGGCCCTGGTACAGCATTGTTTGCATGGCCTCTACACGGTATAGCAGCGGTATAATTGAAATACCAATTTCTAAACGACCGGCTTCGGCTTCTATCGCCTCCATCAGACTTTCATTGCTTTTGCCCTTGAAGGCTCCAATTGCCAAAAACTACGATTTTCAGGCCTCTCCTTTTTGCACCAACTTACGCATATGAAATATGCGTTGACGCAGGACATCATACATCCATCCATGACATTACTTCGTCTCCACCAAAAATAGTAAATGGAAGGAAATAAATGAACGCGTCAGGTCACCGTTATTATTTCCTGCTTTAAATGCAATTCTAACTCTTCGCATTTTGTCCTCATTGCTCTCGTCAGAAGTCCTCCCGTCCCTGGATGGTTCCAATACTTGTAAGTCACCAGTTTGTGAATACAGCATGTCGGGGTGCAAGAGCATAGGAGTTTTGCAGTCAGCCATTAGTTTCTTCGTCTAAATTCTTTGATATTATCTCATTGGAGAAATTCGAGGCAACGAATGAACGAGGCCTCTTGCACTTCAAATAATACCGCATCATGCCCCTCAAAGAAAAAAAGGAATATATTCGCTGGAGCTTACTAGAAACAGAAATTTCTCAGGAGCACGGAGATTCATGTAGTTCTGTATCTGCTACTGCCCATTATTTTATATCAGGGAGCGTTTCACGGGATTGCAAATGTTCCAATGTCGAGACATACAAGGGATATCAAAGAAGATCCCGAATCTTAACTAATTTGTCTCTGCACTTATTGTAGACTAGTGTAAAAAGCCCGTGTACCCACGGGCTGAAATAATTCGAATCAGAACATTTCGTGCATGACTTTCAGCTCTTTCTTCGTCAGTTTCACTGTCTATGGAAGCAACCTGCGTAGCATCGTCTTGTGAACTTCGGGATGCATTTTTATCCACTGACTGGGACTCCAGAACTTCTATTTTCTCTTACGTTCAGTAGATCCCACCGCTGATTTGTTTACAGTTCCCTACTTTTTCGGGGCATTTTCAGAACGCCAAAATAAATAAATAAATAATTTTTGAGCACAAACTAAATGCTGCAAAACACACGTGAAGCACTGTCTTCAACCGGCGACGGGACTGGGACGCAATATATAATCACTAGACCACACCCGCATCCCGCAGGATCCACTTCGCGGGTGACAATTCCGGGTTGGGATAACTTCCGAAGTGGACTGCCCGTAGAATGTTGCAATATATAGATACATATAACATTAAAATACAGTATGAATAAGTTACAGTTATACATGTTTCAGCCGAGAGAGCTGTGGTATTAGTGTATCATATTAATGTGCTCATGTAATCGCTATGTTTTACTTGGGCATTCAAGAGCAGGGATTTTCGGCGCCCGCCCGAGCCATTGCGTCTGCCAGCTGTGCTATGTCCTTACCAGGCCTGGGCATTGTACTCGAGTCAGGTTTTCTTATGCCCTTCTGGTCTAGTCTTCGTGGTCCTGGTGAGGCCCTTCATCGCGCTGGCACGGTTAGTAGACGTCACTTTTTTCCTCCAGTTTGGTCAAAGGCCAAAGAGTGAGAAAGGCAACCTGTTTTGGGAAGTGATGGGTCAGTTGGGCTAGGAAAGGGTTGCGACCTTTGGCCACGATTATTTTATAATGCAACTGCTCTATCATCCCCTTAATTAAGCTGACTTTCTCGTTCGGACAAACATGGAAGGAATGCGGCTAGCTTGATGTGCCTTCCTTCTGTTTTCTCTGACGCTAGTTAGTTAGGGTATATCGCAAAAACGAAAAATCACTGTGTGAAAAAGTTTGAGGGCAGAGTTTTTCTTTGGGTCATATGTCATGAGGACGGAAGGTAGGTGAGGCTGCTGGGGCTGGACAGAAAAAACCTCCAGGGGACGACCGGACCTTGAACCGGGGCCTCTTGTTTCTCGATCCGGTGCGTTACTATTACAAGCCCAGGACACATGAACAGGTTGCCTATTACCACACATAGGGTTTCTGTTCCAACGAAAACGGGCAGTCTCGCCCTCCGTTCAACGTGAATACGCATTAAATGTACTACTTCTTTTCTCATCTAGCGCAACTGAAATATGCACCAACACAATCTACCCATCAAGACCTTGCGATTGACATATCACATGCACCATTCGACGGGTCGGAAGTCTTTCCTTCACGGATAATTATTAATTAGCAGTAAGAAAAATTCAATTAGCAATCATATGTAACGGGCATCGTTGAGATCGGAGAGACTGCCTAGTCCGAGCACTAAAACGGCAACATCAAGGAAATGGATTAATTAACTTCTTAATTTATTAGTCAATTAGCACATCATGTTTTTTGTGCAAGATTTTAGACCATGACAATCAATATGAGACCGCTCTCGCCTTCACACGAGTTCTTCTTCATGGTTTGGTGATTGGGTAAACTGCGCATTATGTATGTGGATGATATATCCTTTCCCACAATTTAATTTAAAATAACAAATGGTGATGAGAGTATGGCTAGCTTCTATAGGAGCCACTTCTTCGTAATTGTGATTCATTCTTTTGCATTTTAATTCATTTCAAACAGCCCAAATTCCCTGACTATGCAATACCAGGCAAAGTGCTTCGGATTGAAAGATGCAAAGAAGCTTCCACCCATGCTCACTCTGCTTAGCAGTTCGCTCATGAACTAGCATCTTTGATGGGTTCAACAGGGAAAGTCCCCTTCGAAGTAAAGGAACACTTTTCTGGGTTCAGAGCTCACGGGACCAGAAAATGCCTTCGAATCTCAAAGTATCCGTATTTCAAATTAATATCCATACAATTAGGCATACAAATCACTATCCTCTCGGAGGGGAAAATATATAACTTTGAAGTATCCGATACTTCGAAGTATGGTGAACAGGGGAGTAGTGGACCTCCCCTAAGTTTTTATTCCTATAAGATGCCGAAAAAGCGTTAGTTGCAATCTTCCCTTATGTTAGCATTAAGAAGTAATGTTCCCCTCAAGGGTTAACTGAAAGCCAGCAACATATCTGATTTTTTGAGATAACTATATTGCCTCTAAGTTTTTCTAAGGGAAAACTCATGCAAAAACTTGGAGACAATATACTAACCACTAAGAATCCTAGATGTTGCTGGTTTTCATTAAGAAGTAATGTTCCCCTTGAGGGGAACAATACTTCTTAATGCTAACATAAGGGAAGATTCCAACTGAAGCTTTTTCTGCGTGTTATAGGAATACAAACTTAGGAGTGGTCCACTACTCCCCTGTTTATCCTACCCGATATCGAATTAACGAGGTTTATCTATATTAACCATAACGTAACAGCCCACCGCGGATGCAAGTTTCATAGTAGTTCATAAAAACCCCGAGGGACAAATAGGAAAACATCGTCTCTGTCTATTGTTTCGAATTTTTGATGATCGAAACAAGATAACATAGGGACATTGGAGGCGTCCGATATTTCTTGACAGAAGGTGAAAACGTAAACTACTATCATACATGAAGTCATACTTACTTGCATGTGTGGTGCATTCCAAAAGTCCATACCGTCTTTGTGTGAATGGCACACAAGTGTAGGGACAGCGTTGCATATCTGCATCATGAAAAGAGGAAGGAAACCACCTTCCTCTTTTCATGGTGCAGGTATGTATATGGGATTTTCCCTAGTTTATTAGACACTGAATGAGAGGACTTGTGGTAAAGCGGCTGGAATAATATCTATGAAGAAAATTAACCGAGAATAGTTATGCAAGTGTTTTTTAGGTTACAATTCGAATCAGATTACAGTATTTCTTTTCCCCCCATACCAGCACAGTGCTTAAAGTCGGGATAGTCAGACACCAAAGAAAGGGGGGGGGGGGAGGGAAGAAATAAAATACTTTCATCTCTATTGTGCATAGAGTTTTTCGACTTTATTGACATAGCGAGAATCTACTGGCGTTTCTTTATTTCAGGAAAGACCACATTTATCGATGGGTTGGTAAACTACGCCTATGGAGTGAATTGGGAAGACGATTTTCGCTTCAAGTTGTCCACGAATGCAAAAAATGAGAAGTCTCAAGCCCACACCCAAACCAACTGGATCTCAGCATACGTTCTACCCAAGCAGCAAGATTCAGCTGTGCCATACACCTTGACTGTTATCGATACACCAGGATTCGGTAATACAGAGGACATAAAGAATGATGAAGATCTGCTGCGACATATCAGGGAGTTCTTCTCGCATGGTGAATCCCTAGGGATAAACAAACTTGATGGAATCGGTTTCGTAGTCCCAGCCCCTGAAGGTAGGCTCACAGACACACAGAAATACATATTTCAAAGCGCTCGCAGATGGGAAAATGCCATGCAAAAGATTGTTCAAGTTTAACAATTCTGTGCTCTTTGCGAATTGGAGGGATAATAAGCCAGCAGAACTCGATAGACTGGCTTGGAAAATGAGCATGCAAAGCTTATCAAATTTCATCAATGAATTTAAAGGAACGAAACCAGTAAGCTTGGCGCAATTAAAACAAAGTTCAGCAGGATTTGGACGCATCAGCAACGTATACGATGAATGCAAGCCACAGTTGGATGCGGGTAATATTATTTCTTTCATTTGCAAATTTGCCCACTCGATGACATTCAGTAAGTAACATCATATTCGATTATCAGTTCGAGGTGCAGTGGGACCACTCAGAAAAGGGAATGATGGAAGGAGGCAATGTGAAGGTCAGCAAAGGGCAAGCACATACTTCTAAGGAAGAGAAAAAATCACAGTAATCTCCGTAAACATGAGACGAAGAAAGAAGTGGATGCATCCTTGGCTAGAAGAAGTTACTTCACAACCCATTCGGCCCAAAATGTTAATAGATTATCTTTCAATGGTCCAGAAGATAGTGTTGTGATTAAGGATGTCACTGTTATGAACAGAAGAGGGAAACTTTACCAGCCAAACCATTTATTTCCTATTCCTTATAATGGTCAATGCTTGCTAGATCAACATTGGTTCACCAATAAGTAGTTGCTGGTCACAATGCATGTTTCTGAATGCATGCTATGGCTTCCCAGGTCAATAATGAGCCGAAGGTAGGTTTCCATCGGTAGAATTTGTCCCAACGCTAGAAAACATTTGACTGCTGCAGCGTCTCTCTATATCCAAGTAACACAGTATGTTGATGAAAAGTTTTCAAAATGTTGCCTATGTTGCTCTATGTTGCAAGTTGCTGTACAACTTCTCACATTGTCTCATTATAGGAATCAATGAGCACGGACACTTCATCACCTGTTATCCTCATTTTCCAGACAGATTAATGGGGTCAAGATAAAAAAACTCATATTCCCAAAAAGAACCCTTTCCAAGAACTCGTCGAGTTCATATTACAGGACAATGTAGATGGTAGAGAGTCTGCGATCTCAATACTTCATATCCTCATTCTGGGTACTAGCCGAAGAAACGAAGGATTGATCTCGTGGACACTCCATAGAACATTGCGATCAGACCTTTTCCTGTA